GGAAGCATGACAGGGCAGAAGAACCTGAACAAACGTATTTCAGGAGCAGTTGACCTTAGCTCATTTACAAGGCGGTGAATGCCCAAGGGAGAGATGGGCTGTTACCCCACTGGCCCACCTTTGGCATCCCCTAGTGGTGGGAGGAGACTATAATCTCTTATGTATTTAGAGTAACAGGACTCCCATCACCAAGGACTCTGATTTTGAGTAAGGATGGGAGAACTCCACAAGCATCATCCCCAAGTCACTATGACGAAGCTGCACTTGGCCAGTTTGGAGGCATCTGATAAGGAAATCAAGCAACATCTGCTCCCCAAGAGCTCGAGGAACTAGATTAGATGTTCACAGGGTAACAGAGAAGGATCATAAACGTACTGTGCTGAGTGAAAACAGTAAGAAATAGAGTAGTTTGTATGCATAAGCCACTTACATAAAGTGCACCCAAAATCTGTCTCATAACCACACTTAACCTGAGGGCTAGATACAGAATAATATGCCAAGCAGTTCCCAAGTGCCTTGACAGGGCAGTGGCCAATCAAAACGGAATGTTGGTGTTGTACTCTAGAAAAAAAGAACTTTGTTATATTTGTATTACACCAAAATACCTGTACTGTGGCCATACTGTATATATGTTTCCCTTCCCCCTTCCCCCTCCCTCCCTGTTAATCAATGCTCTCCTCTTTAAAGAAAGAATTGTAAATTCCTACAAGACTTCCTGTCCTCTCCTAAGAGAAACAAAGGTTGTTAATTGCTGCTAGACTCCTCTATTCTCTGCTGAGGAAAATAGGATCTTCCCCATTCGCCTATTTCCTGATCCATGCCCATGACCTTTACTTTGTGAGTGGTGATAGGTATGAGAGGTGTGGCAAGTACAGAGAAAGGACACAGCTTTGACAGTCTCCTACTGAGGCTCCTGTGGGCACAGGGGAGGACAGCACAGGGTGTCACTGCCCCCTGCATGCCTTCCTGGGCCAAGACAGAGAGCTGTGGTGGTGTCAGGGCTGGTTCTCACCCTGGGAAGGCCCAGCCCTGTGGTTGCCAACTAAGACACCTGCGCTGCAGCCTTGCCTGCTCTGAAAGGCTGGCTGTCACTGGCCCAGGCCAATATGTATTTTTTTAAACAAAAAGTTAAAAAAATAAATTTTAAAAGTAGACAAAAGCTTATAGAATAAGGGTATAAAGAAGAAAATGTTTTGTATAACTTACTAGAATAAGAAAACTATACATACATATTAGTTCATAAGCCTAAAAAGTCACCTTAAGTTAGGTTTAATTTATTACTCAAGAATGAGTTTTAAGTACAGATTTAGTGCAGCTTTCAGGTTGTGTCCAGAAATCCATGGGAGGGAGCAGCGGTGCTCTGGGCCTTGACCCTCGGGCAGCGCTCGCTCAGAGTGGCCTGCAGTCCCGGGAGCTCCATGCTTCCTGGGTGCCCCACAGGACCTCCTTATGGCTTCCTGGATCCTGCATTCTCGCTACACTTTCCGGTGCTTAGACATGTTCACAGACACACATGCCTTTGTGCCACAGCTGCCTGCAGGCTCGGGATGGTAACAAAGCACTAGGTTTGTAGCCCAGGCACAGCACCTCTGCCACACAGCCCAGGCCTGTCCCTAAGCCCTTCTGTGACGTCTGCACAGCTAGGAAATGATGTCACAAAGCACTTCTAGGAGCATCCTTGGGGGTGAGGGAACCATGGTGACTTTGCTTTATACTAGGTCAGGTCAGTAGAGGTTGCTGGAGGGACACCGAAGAAGGGGGGTGCTTTTCCTGGTTCTGGAGGCCGCCTCCATCTTGTTCCTGTTATCCCTGATGACAGCTTCACATGGTCTGCACAAGCGGCCAGTGAGTGCCATCGGCCACCTTGTGCCGTTTTCCTGCTTCCGGTCTGTTGTCTGGGCCACTTTCATGAAACCTTCTACCAGATGGTCACAGCTGTGCCCTCTTCAGCCACAGCTGCCTAACTTCCGGTCAGGTGGGTCCCCCTACCCCACACGGTTTGCTTCTTCTTTGGGAGTCCATTCTAAATCCCTGCCCACTCAATTCTCTTGCCAGTAGGAATTCTGATGTCTGTCTGTTCTCAGTCGGAACCACTTTCCTGATAGTCATCCCATTCTTTCCTGCTGAAAACCCAGACTGTCCCTGAGTTTTATGAGCAAAAACCACCTGACTGAGCATCCGTGATGAGGTGGAAGGATGCCACCTCAATCACCGTACTACACGGTGGGCATCTCTTCCCAGAGCTTCTCACGCCGTAGCCCTGTCTAGCAATCCATTGAAATTGTTGCGGTGTTGATTGCACATTTTTGGGCCTGTCTGCATCCATTTCTTTCCACCACAGTGCTGTGCACTATAAAAGGCATGGCAAGGGGTGACACCTGGGCAGATGGGCACAGATGGAGGTCGGAGCCAGTTACCCTGCGTGCAACCTCTGAGCCTGATCCTTACTAATGACGTGACCTTGGCCAGCTTACTAAGTTTGCCGAAATTCAGTTTAATGTGATGTGAAATGGAGCTGCTAAGGCCTGCACATAGGATGTTATAAAAGTCAATTGCGTGTCTATCAACATCTATAACACCTACAGCAGGAGGGTGGAAGGTCGGCGGTGGCTGTCATGGCGGTAAGGGTGGTGACATAACGATGCATTATGTATTATGCTCACTGTGGCAGTTTTCGGTCTAAGCAGCAATGTGAGGAAACAGTGAAGGAAAGGGTGTTTCACATAGAGTGGAAACTCAGGAAGGCACCACTGCACAGGTGGGTGGCACAGTATGAGGAATAAAGAACAAATAAATGGAAAGAGGCAGCCTATTATTTCATGAGTTTTGGTCTTCAAAATAACACCCACAGAGCATGAGTACTTAACGTTTCTTCTGCTGGAGGATGTAACTCCCTCTGCCTGGTCTTGTTTAGAAAAGCCTTTCTGTGATTATTATTGATCACACACTGGCTCTGATGTCTTCACGTTTTCCAAGTCTCAGATCAGTGTGGCGTGACTGTACCGCGTGTCAGATGAGGCTCTTGGGAGCTCCCTTGCGGCTTTTGTCAATAATGTGGTAAGATGGGGCTGGAAGGCCTTGCGCTTTGGGATGCACACCTTGCCGGAGGCTGGAGCTGAGAACGGTAGAACCTACTGAGAGAACAATTACATAGCAAGTGTTGCGCTATCAACTGAGTTTGAAGATAGCAATCTTTACTTTAAATGAATTATCAGTACTTTGTGGTACTTGGCTGGGGCTTTGTGCTTTGGATGTTTTGTTTTCTAGTTTAGATGATGAATTTTTGACTGCTAGCTCATCACATAGAAAAACTAAAATTTTATTCTACAGAAGGTCTGTCAGAAAATCTAAACATAAATAAACCTAGCTAGAACTATTTTTAAAAAATTAATTTTACTGGTAAGCTTTTGTTACACATAATGGTCACGTTCATCATAGAAAACTTGCACCCGTATGTAATGGATCTTGATTCTTCCTCAGACTGTGCTATTCCAACTGCACATTTCACATATAAAAGTAGATACTGAGGAAGTGTGGGCTGAGTCACAGGACCCCTGCCTCCGCATGCTAGCTTTGTCCTCCCAGTTGCACAGACAGACACAGTTTTCCCTCAACTCTTTTTCCTACGGGGCTACTGGGGATCAAACTCATGACCTCATACTTGTCAGGCAGGTGCTTATGCTGCTGAGCTAAATCACCAGCCCACAATTTTCCCCAACTCTTTAACACTAGTGAAAATGCAATTCTAAACTAATTTTGATTGGGCAGGAATGGATGAGTTAATTCTCCCTGTTGCTGTTCTGTGGCACACTCTGTCCATGTTTTACCATAAACTTGCAAGAATTCTAAGTGATCATTTACTCTGTTTTAGCACTTATGAATATTTTGAGGAGTACCATAAAATTTGCAAACATATATAAAAACAATGGTATACTTTACTGATGTTAGTATTCTGGCATATTCTTGTATTTCCTTTTTACTTGTTATTACTAAAAAATTAAGTCACACTATAAACATTACAATTCTGTAACAAACATTGCCTCACATAACTACAATGCCATTACTACAATAGACAAAAATCAGAATCATTATGTCAGTCTTTGTGAATGTCAAATATTCAACCTGCTATCAAATTTTATATACACATGTCTTCACTAGAAGTAAGAAGGAATCTAGGCTTATTGAAAGATGCTGCTGTTAAATATCTTACCTACCCATGCATTTATCTGTAATTTTTCATGGTGTTGACTTGAAGAGAATGATGCAAATCAGTTATCCTCGTGGTGACATTTAACATGTGCCTCTATCCTTCACAGTTCCCAAACCCTCTGAAATAGTCAAAATGCATTTAGGATGGGTTTTGAGTATTATTAAGTGATTATAGTGTACAGATAATGCTTTGGTTGTCACTTAGCTCTTCACTTTTCAAGCACTAAGTGTTGATTAATTTCCTAAAGTCTGACATTCAAAAGCAGATTGGTGAAGTGGCCTGTAATGACTTCCCAACTAAAAGAAACCTAGAAGTCAATTGCCTTTGCTAAATTCTAGAAAGGGGCATGCGATTTCCCCATCATAACAAAGCTTCCATTTGCAGTGGAGAGCCATATGTTTTCTCAAAAAAAATCACATGAAAGCATAATGTTAAATTAATGTTGTTGTAGACAAGAACAATAGCAACCTTGTGTTGATTTACAAAATAAATTTCTATAGCTCCGTGGTTCTCAGGTTCTAAAAGTTCACATAGTTTTTTGGGAAATCATAGTTCTTGGTACAATTTTAAGTTAACATATTGCTAAAACAGAAAAGGGAATATGAAGAAGACAGTTCCAAAACATTGCTGACTACAGTAGCCAAGGTGAAGATTATCCTAAAACATTACAGGAACTTGGTAAATGTCTTGTGACACTCCATATGAATTTGAAAGCAAAACTTCATGTTCAGTGTATACACATCTGTGCACAGGATTTCACCAATATGGAAAGAAATAGAAGCAGAGGAAATCTGGGCATAATTTTACTTTTTTTATTTAAGAAAACAATGCTTACAAAACACTCAACTAAATTTAATCTTATGCTTGCAGAAGCATTTTTTCCTTTACTTTTAGAATTGATACCAAATGAAAATTCAAACACACGTTTCTCAATGCTCAAATAATTTTCCCTTACTTGTGTGTATTATAGCATTAGGAGCTACAGTGGCTGAAATATTCACTTGAGATTCTCACCATTGCGGATAATCTATTCAGTCTACCTAATTATTAAATTAAATGCCACCTTTGATAGCATTATGAAGAATTTCATATGCTTAATATCTTAATGAGGATTTTGGCTATGATGTTTAAAAGAAAAACTAATCCTCTGCATGGTTTAACTAGTGGACAAATTGATGGCCACATTTCAGCTTTGTAGAAACTGGCAGAGAACTCTCCTTTAGACCCTCTGATCATGACATTACGGGGCAAATTTTTTCCATTCTCTTAAATAGTTAAATATATATTAAGATAAAAATACAAGTGATTATTTCTAAGACTCTCTGTTTACCTGCTCTCTGCAGATCATTTGTGTCATAATTCTTTCTCAGATGTCTTACACTCTAGAATTTGGTCTCACCCTGAATAGGTTCTGAATTCTCTTGGTTGTTATGGAGCCTTCTATACCTGGGATACCCTGTCAATTTCATGGGCTTTAGGACTCACTTATTTTCAGTTTTGTTGTTATTTTTTTATGCCAACCCTTTCTTGACTATCCTGAAGTGCTGATGAATCAGCTCAGCGTCCCTCATTATAGCTGTCACACTGTCATTGCCAGTGGGCTGAATGGTGGCCAAAGGATGTGTCCCCTTCTTCAGAACCAGAACCTGGGAGCACTGCCTTCCATGACAAGTGGTGGGATTAGATGAAGGAGTTTGAGGAAAAACCTTATCCTGGGTTGTCTGCATAGGCTCCAGATGCCCTCCCATGGGTCCTCAGTAGAGAGGCGGAGCAGATTCAGCTCCAGACACAAGAAGAGCAGGTTCCATGACTGCTGAAGACAGCTGAGGGAGATGTGGTGACACGGGAAGAAACACCAGCTGCCACGTGAGGCTGGAAGAGACAAGGAATGTTTCCTCTAGGGCTTCTGAGGGAGCATGGTCCTATCCACACGCTGATTCCAGACTTTCGCCTGCTGTAATGGTGGGTGAAGACATGTTGTTCTTGTCAGGCTGAAAGTTTCCGGACCGTCACCAGCATTCTCTGTATTCTGTTTGTCTTAGTTTGGCAACTCTATCGTACTTTGTTCAGAAGTTCACTGGAACTCACTGTCAGCCTTCCAGATAGTTAGGTTAGCATCTAACACAGCACTAGAATGCTTCAGTAGCAGAATACAAATGAGCTAGTCCATTCTTATGGTGCAATGTACTTACCTTTTGGAAATTTACCTTTTGCACTGTAGAGCATACCAGAGTGGGTCCTGGCTCCAGGCTGGACCATTTTGAGAAGTCCTTAAGAAATGAGATCTGTTCCACCTGGAAGTTGAAGAAAATTGAATTAATTTAACGTAGGGGTAAATAAGAAAGCTTAATGGTGAAATAACAACTGGACAAGAATTAAATTAAAATTAGAGAAGTTAATAAGATGTCTAAAATGAAGCATGAACTCTTTGAGTTTAATAGCTTAGGTTATCAGTGGAACTGAAAATGTTTAAACATATTCAAATTAGAAAAACTCAAAGGCTGGGAAGCTCTTACTTAGCAGGAGGTAGTTTCTAGAAAACATCTTGTAATCTGTGTGACAGTGTGGCCCCACCAGAAATGTCCTATGTCCCTCACAGCTTGACAATCTCTCACTGGACCTTTAGATACCTACAAAACACTCTGAGCATAAAACCCGATTGTCTTTCTATAAAGGTGAAGAATGCTTTAGCAATGTTAATTACACATGTGAATGTCGACCCTTAGGTTTGAAAGTGATGGAATCTTCTCTCATTGAACTCCTCTCATTGATGTGCAGGGCATGTTGGCCCCTGAATTTGCTGATAAATTACTGGTTTCTGAGATTTAACCTATGCCAATGTCATCTTACAGTAATTCAACAAAAGTGGAAATAATCTGACCAGCACTTTGTCAGAGGTTTTAGAGAGCTGTGCCAGGGCATCAATTTTGTGATTGTATGCATGTGCAGAAGCTCATTTTACATTTCTTTTACTTAACTTCTTTATTATGTTATGGCTGTTATTATGTTAAAATATGCATGCAATTCTGCTGCATTTCAGGATAGCTGGGGAATGTATTAATGCACTTTAATCAAAAAGGTCATGGACCTGGTAGAGATGAGACCTTATTCTGAAGATGTTCATTGTCATACTCATGGTGACACTAAGGACTCGGTGGGCACTGGCCAGGTGGACATCTGAGCAGACAGAACCTGAGCTTCTGAACCAGGAGTCTGCGTGAACTCTTCCACGAGCTGTGGAGCTGAACAGAGCAGGGAGGGGCAGAGGTGGTTTACTCAGGAGGAAAGGTCTGGAGATTGAAGGAACACGACATAGTCTGTGTGTCCTGACATCTGTCTGGGAAAGTCTTGGTTCTCCTTCTGCGGACTACCTGGATGCATCTATGTATGTTCCTCAGCGTGTCGTGTTCTTGTTTAAATCCTCTTTAGCACCTCGAATGAGCACACTTCCTATCAGAGGTTCAATCCTGAGCCTGTCAGTTTGAGCTTAAATGGTGTCTCCTTTATTACTTCTGCTGTTGGTGCTCAGTAGATATGTTCTTTATTTCTATTTAATAGCATTCTAACTCTGTCTGGTGTAAATTAAAATTTTGGATAATCATTGAAATGCTGGTCACTTTTCCTGGCATGTAAGCAAACGTCTTGCCTCTGATATCTCCTTAGGAATTTCTCTAACAAATTGCCTAGCAGAAAAACAGATGCCCTAAATGAGTTTCTACAGATTCCACAGAGATGAGAAATAAATTCACTAGTTTGACATGAAGAATATGCTTAGCTCCTACATTTCTAAATTCTAATAGAGACTGGGAAAAAAAAAAAATATATATATATATATATTGGTCTTTTTCCTTTGTTATCGGTACCGGGGATCGAATTCACGACTGCCTGCTTGCAAGGCAGGCACTTATGCTGCTGAGCTAAATCCCCAGCCTGGGAAAAATAATTTTAATTTACTGGCATCTACACTTAGGCAATTCACAATGTATTAGGATGAGGAAGCATAAAAATGAACAAACCTTTAATAAGATTAACTGCTGTGGATGGACTTGGATCTGTGGTTCAAGAGAAGTCTTCTTTGAAGGAGAAAGGTTATCACGGGAACTCTAGTGGGTATGTACAAAGATTACAAGGAAGGGAAAAAGCGTATAGAAGAACTATGGTAGACAAGGAACTGAAAAGAAAGATTCAGACTAAACTTAGAAAAACCTTAAAACTTATTATCAACAATAATAAGGGGTTGGAAGTTGCTGTAGTTTGGAACTTGAAGGTCCCCAAGCCCACATGCTGAAAGCTCACTTGCCAGCTCTGCAAGACTCAGGGGAGGTGTAGAACCTTTAGGGTGCAGGGTGTAGAAGAGGGAAGTCAGGTGGTTGGGGTGTGACTTTAAAGCGGATATTAGACCTGGACACTTCCTGTGTGTCTCTCTGTTGTCCATCTGCTGTGTGCTGAAAAGCCCTCCTCAAACATGTGCCCTTACCTGGATGTACAGCAAACAACAGTAAAACCACAGAGTCAAGCAAGCATGGACTAAACCCTGCATACCATGAGCCAAAGGAAAACCTTTACTTCCCATAAGTTGATTGCCTCAGGTTCTTCATCATAGCACACAAAGCGAAAAAGTTAGAAAAGAAACAGAAAGACATGATTAGGTCAGTGCTATCAAATGATCTCCAAGAATCAGTGGATTCAGAGTAGGGGTGAGAAGAATGGAGGAGAAGCTAAAAGCCAAGAGAGCTAGTGGAAGTCTCAGCTGATTTCTCACTAAGGTTTACCCATGAGGCTCATAGAATAGAAACAGCTATGGATGAAAATTTCAAAAACACTTTCTAGGCTGAAGATAAAGGCCTTGAATTTTCTTTTAAATATCACCCATAGAATCACATTGACCTTTGGGAATGTTTCACAGCTCTCACAGTTCCTTCTGAAAAACCCATTACTGTCAATGGCTCTCTGAATTTATGAGCAGTTATCTCTGCTCTTATATTTACTCTTCCAAGTTGACTTGTTTATCACATGACAAATTAGAATAAGCTGCTTTATAAGTTTTGGAAGTTAAACCTGCAGAAGCTTGACAAATAAAGGAGCCACTGAGAAGTGCAATGGACGGAAACGGCAGATGGAAAGACCAGAGAATCACCAGTTATCTTGGTCACATTTGGAAGCTCAATTTCAGCATATGTCAGATTCCATGTGAGTCTCAGGAGCTCTGAGATGGAGGAATTTCAGGTGCAGCAACAGAATGGGTTGGTCTTTGCTATCATGCACAAAAGGAAAAATAAACAAATTAAAACAGGAAAAATTAGTGCTTATATTGTTTGATCAGTTTTGCATGCCTATATCTGGTCATCTGTGCAACTATTTTGATGACAACAATATCCAATATAATAACCATTGTTTCCTATCATCTTGTTTTGAAATTGCATAATTTTCATTGTTTTAAAAATTCTCTTTAAAATTAAAAAAAAATACTCAACTGACTCTCAATGAAAGTCATTTGTCTTTCAAACCAAATGGCTTTTCAGTGCTCTCAGGAAATGTCCATACTGCTTGGCTTTGCAAAGACTGAACCATCAAGGCTGAGCTCAGCAAACAGCCCTGACCTCTGAGCAAGACCCTTTGCAACTTAATAAAAGTGGTTTTTTTTTTCCTTTTCTGTGTTAAATTTTATGGTCCCCAATGCATAGTGGATTGCAATACAAGATAGCTGATTTATTAACCAGCATTTATTTTTGTTCTTATTTTATTGCAACCTAAGTCAGCTTATTAATCAAATGTACCATGTTAATTCACCCTTAGAAAGATAAGATAATCCTTGCCTTCTAGAAGTACGTGCACCCCGACTGACTGCTCTTGCCACAGATGGTAAATAAGGGTTAGGGACCTTGGAAATCCAACCAGGAGCATGGTAAACAAAATGAGCCACACTGACCCCACACTGCCCTCTCCACCTGGTATGGGAACTCACCATGCTGCAGCTGATCTGCACAGACTCTCATCTGGAAGTGCTGCCTAGGGGAGAGACAGAGAGTGAATGTCAATCATATAAAAATACCAAGGCCTAAAGAAGAATAATTACTTTTTCTCCTTGTTGTCTTGAAAAAGATATCATTTTCCCCAAATGACTAATAATACAAAATATTTCAAGGCTGTAGATAACAAGGAATAATAAATTCTAATTGGTAAAATATATGCAAAACCTTTTCTTATTATTATTCTCCTTTTAACATTTTTCTTCATCATGGCTAAAAGTCATGTGTATTTTTCTCTTAATTTTACTATTTTGACTAAATTTGACTTGATTTTCAGTGTTTCTTCAGATTTCTTTTTGGTGTGCTAACCATTTACAAGTCACTTTTACTGCTTTACCAATACATTAAGTTCACTTTAATCTCTTCTTATCAATTCTGGTAAGCATCTTTTACGATTTGCTGCACCAATGTCCTCAAGAAACTATTGGATACTTTTACCTGACAGAGTGAAAACTCAGAATATCTAGGTCAAAGACCTAATTTCACAGGTGAGGAATCCAAAAGCACTGGTGGTATGGTACATGTGTTACTCAAGGTTATGAAACTGTTTAAGCAAACCCTGAGGACTAAACACAAATATCTGAATTCCCAGAGTTCTCATATCATTCAAGTTTCCTCTGCTAGTCCACAGTGATTTGATTGGATTGTTCTTTTGTGTTGAATCATGAGTGCTTCATCCTTGATCAGACTATACTATGGTTTAATCAGAAACACTTGGATTTAAACTCACCTGTAAAGTATATGACTGACCAAGTTACCTCATTATCCTCATACCAAATAATATTTCTGTAAAATAGGTACTGTGATACTTTTACCACAGAGCCATAGTAAGACAAAGATAACATAGTAAATACAAACATCTGGTTTATTTAGCAAGAAAATTAGTGTTATGGTTTGTGCCTGGATATCCCCTCTAAGTCTCATGCAGTCATGGGGTGTGAGGATTTCAGAAGGGGCTGAATCTAGAATTTGTATTTGGTTCATTGTCTAGTGCTGGAATTGGAGTGTGAGTGCTACACCAGCCCTAGGGTGGCCATCCTGCATGTAACATGAGAGGGAAAGAGGCTTGCTCCACTCCTTTTGCTCTTGCTGCTTTGGTGTCTTCCACCCCTGGAGTGATTGCCCTCTGCTCTGTGCCACTCTGCCTTGGAGCCAGCAAGCCTCCAAGTGGAGGCTGAGCGGGGCCAAATGATGTTCACAGAGTAGTTAATGTAGGAACTGACACAACAAGGCTGAGAAATTCATACTACACAGAAGAGGAGTCCACTACAGTCCACCCCTTAATCACTCATATCTACACTTGCTTTCCATTTGAGTTCTTTTCCTCTTGATCTTCTGATATCAAACATATGGGTTTTTTTACTCGTATCAAGCAGTTATTCAGCTGGATACCCTACGATTACATTTGGACATTCTGATAGTATTGCATTTCCAAAACCATCTCTAAAATGTAATACTCCTTGTTCTTAAATTATTTGACAGTGTGTAATTTGATAGCCTTACAAAAATTAACTAATACTATTATTTTTTGCTATATAGAGGATTTAATCTAGTGTCTGCACGGAGGTACATCCTGAGTTGCTTTTTAATGTCTTATTCTGAGACAAAATCCTGCCAATTCACTGTGTACTTAAGCAAGTCTCAGACTCCTGCCTCAGTTTCATAAAGTGCTGGAATTCTAGGCATGTGTCATTAGACCTAGTAACATTATGATGTTTTCCTATCAATTTAAGTACTAGGAATTTCATGTGCAATGATGAATTTCCAAATTGATGACTAAAGTTTACGAAGCTCTACATCGGCATTCATTAATGATATTTACATTTTCAATGCTTTTGTAAATGACAAAGTTGTTTAGACTTCTACTTTGACTTCTGATTACTAGTGTGAAATAACACAAGTATACAAGTATGGTTTAAAAAGTAATCTCCCCACCCAAATTAATCTTTTATTATGCAACTATCTAAATCATTTACTGGTTCTTCAGTAAATATTCTTCAGTCTGCAACATTTACATTGTCTATTCTAAACAGACAAGATGGCCTTGGAATAAAGATAGTTTTATCTTTTCTGTTTCAGTCTCAAGACTTTTTAAATTGTATTTTGCTTGATTTATTCTTCTGGCTAAAACTTGCAGTGTAATGTGAAATACATAGGTGAAAATGGACAATCAGTTACTTTTGATCTTAGGTTGAAACATTTGATGTGACTTCTTTTTGGCGGGTACTGGGGAGCAAACTCATGACCTTGGACTTTCCAGGCAGGTGCTTATGCCACTGAGCTAAATCCCCAGCCCCAATGTGACAATTTAAGAAAAAAAAATTTTAAACATAAAAAAGACAACAATCAAGCAGTGTCAAAACAGGTTTGTAGGAAAGTTATGATAGTTAATATATTGTGTATTGTTGTCTTTGTAGTCTTTATTAAGTGGATGTTAACTGTTTTTGGTTGGTACCATTACATAAGATCAGAAATGTCACTATTTTTTAATTTTATTGCAGTCACTTTTTTTGTAGTTTGCTAATGTGGTGAATATATTGAGCTTTTTTTATGTCTTTGTCTAGTTTTGTTAGCATGGTCATGATTATCACATGAAATAAGTCAGGAATCAAAGCAGTGTACCTTTTCTAAATGTTTAAAAGGATTTCTAGGTTACTAGTATTATTTCATTTTAACAGATTTGTTGAAAATTAACAGAGAAATTATCAGGCATATGAATAAAGCATAAAAAACTTCAGTCACAGTATAGGTCAACTGTGTTTGACAGAAACATACAAAATACTCTACCTAGCAATAGCAAAACACATTTTTCTCAAGTGCACATGGAAATTTTCCAAGATAGGCCATATGTTAGTCCACAAAACAAGTCTTGGTGAATTTCACACACAGTGTATTATTATAATGGGATAAGACAAGAAATTTATACAGAAGAAAAACAAACAATTTAATCTAAAAATAAAAAACAAAAATGTAAAAATTTCAAAAGTGAAAAAGAAATTATAACATACCACCTTATACCAAAATGAAGTTAGACCCTTGCCCTTCATTATATAGAAAGTTAACGCAAAGTGAATTAGAGGCTTAAATGTAAGAGATACAAGTAGAAAACATTCACAGTATAAAACACTGGAGGAAGCCTTCATGATATCAGACTTTACAATGAATTGGATAAGATTCCAAAATCACAAGAAACATTAGAATGAAACATACATTGGATTAAATGAAATTTAAAACTTTGTGCATCAAAAGATGCTATCAGTGGAGTGAAGAAACAACAATCCATAGCATAGAAGAAACTATCTTCAAGTCATATTATCTGAGAATGGTGAGTATCCAGGATATATGAAGAGCTTGCACAACTCAACAGCAACAGTTTATTAATAACTGGGAATTGAGCAAATGCTGTGAGTGGACTTTTTTCTGAAGTTATACAGCCCAACACTCACGTAAGAAACACTCCACATCAGTAAACATTAGGGAAATATAACTCAGACTCATATGAGAGACCACAACACATAAATGCAGATGACTTTCAAAAAAGGAAAAAATTAGTGTAATCTCTATTTTAAAAAGAAGAAAACAAAAACGCAAAACACAGTTTGGTGAGGACATGGAGAACTTAAAACCCTTTCCCTTGGAATATAAAAAGTTGCAGCTGCTATGGGAAGCAGCAGAATTACCATAGATCCAGCAATTTCACTTCTGGGAACATATCCCAAGGGACAATCCCAGATACCGAAAGGATATCTGTACACTGATATTCACAGCAGAAGTTCTCAAGAGTCCCAGACGAGAAGCTGGCAAAGCATCCAACCACAGAGACTTAAAGAAAATCACACACAATGTACAGTATCACACTATTTAGCTTTGAAAAGGAAAATAATTCAGATACACATACAACAAGGAATAGCTTTGGAGACATGCTGCCAGGTGAGAGACGCCATTCACCACATGGCACATGTTGTGCGACTCCACTCCCACCAGCTCCCTGCTGCCCCCAAATTCACAGAGACAGAAAGGGGACAGGTGAAGTGGGGGCAGGGCAGAGGGAGCTGGAGCCCACTGGGTGGGGAGTTCCAGCCCAGGATAGGAGAAGCAGCTCTGCAGGTGGGTGGTGGTGATGACAGCCCAGCAACAGGAGCAAGCCTCTGGCCACTGACATTGGCACATCTAAAAGTGGTTGTGATCCTAACATTTGTGTTGCACACACGAACTGTAGTTAGGAAAAATATTAAGAAGAAATACCAAGGAAACTTTCAAGATCAAGGACTCACCTATTTTCAGTTTTATTATTTTTTTTATGCCAACCCTTTCTTGACTGTCCTGAAGTGCTGATGAATCAGCTCCGTGTCCCTCATTATGCCAGTCACACTGTCATTGCAGTGGGTTGAATGGTGGCCAAAGGATGTGTGGCCATCCCTTTCAACAATCGCTCCTCCACGGTGGCAGTTCTTCCAGGCCAGGCTGAGGCTCCCTCAGGCACGGGGGTACCCAGACTCGCAGATTCAGGGTCCTGTTCGACCTGGCAGGAGCCATGGGCGCCGGGCCTGCCCGGAGCTCCCGGCCCGGGTGCTGCCCGCTGCTCATCCCGCCCTCCCGGGAGGCCTGCGCGCGGGGCGCCTCAGTCCGAGGAGGGGCGGCTGGAGGCGCACAGGCGGGCCAGCCAGGCCGCCGGCTTCCCCCGGCTCCGACCGGCTCCCCCCTGCTCCCCCCAGCTCCCCCCGGCTTTCCCCGGCTCCGACCGGCTCCCCCCTGCTCCCCCCGGCTGCCCCCTGCTCCCCCCGGCTCTCCCCAGCTCCCCCCGGCTCCCGCCTCCCGGATCCCTTTGCTGGCGGTCCGGGCCCTCCGCTCCTGTCCCCCTTCTCCTGCGCACCGGGGCCGCAGCTCAGGTTCTCTTTCCCGCCCTCAGGCGAGAGGCCGCGCCTCCCCGCCGGCACCAGAAGCCAGCAACCAGCGCGAGAACCAGCCGGGAAACCAATGAAGGCGCCGACGGGCAGGCTCCCCAGCACCGTCTGCGGCCCCTCCGACGCCCGGGCCGAACCGCGCCCCCAGGGGGCCGCTCTGGGCGAGGGCGCCACGGGACTCAGTGTTTCCCTTTGAAGGTTTAGATATCCGAGCTCTTGATTTCCACTGAGTGTATAGGGAGACACGGGTCTAGTTTTCATTTTTGGCCTGTGCAAAAACTTTTTCCACGACTGTTTATTAAAGATGCTGTCTTTCTTCCAAAAAAGGTATTTGGCTTCTCTGTGGAAGATAAGGTGACTGAGTGTGTATGGAGTTGTTTCTGCAAAGAAATTCTTGGAAAAGCACTAAACACCCCCAATTTAAAGACCGTCGCCCAAAATGGGCATCTGAGATGAATCTACACTTCTCAGATGAAGAAGTACAGATGAAAATTAAACACACCAAAAAGTGTTCAACATCATCAGTCATTGGAGAGCTACAGATGAAAACAACACTGACATTCCATCTCACTCCAGAGAGAATAGACAAGATCAAGAAATCAACCAATCCCAAATGCAGGGCTGTGCGGTGAAAAGTAGCCCTTCTCTATTCTTGGTGGGGGTGTAGACTGGTGCAAGCACTGTGGAAATCAGTGTGGAGATTCCTCAGAAAACTAAAACTAAGAGGTTCCCTGAAACCAAACTATTCCTCTTCTTGATATCTTCCTGAAAGAATTAACAGAATCATACCACAGCGTTATGCCCATACCCATGTCTATAGAAGGACAACAAATACTGAACTTTATCCTCCTCAGCCTCTGATTCTCAAACATTTATAACTTGTAAGATCCTTTCACCTCTGTTTATTAATCCTGGGCATGTCATAGATTTAATGGCTGCTTCTCATATTAATGAGGACAACAGTATGATGACAATGTTATCGTACTTGACGCTTTTTAACCTTGGCTCCCCTTTAGTGACATGGAAATTGACTTGCTCATATTGTACAGCCAAATTAATGCGTGCTAATCTGCTTAAATATTTTAAGAAGCTATAGAGAGAAGAAAAGATGTTCCTGTACAGAAGTATAAGATCCCTGCCTGAGAGCACTGGAATACTTATACAATATTTGAAAGAAGGTTTGTAAGTCAGATTACAACAAAAGTTTTCTGGAATCCTACAGAGCTGTTGTATCTGTGCCTAATTAATAAAAGCAAAATAGTATCTACTGTCTCTCTAATCAAAAATTTAGAATGCCCTAATTTAATTCTTTAAAAAACACTTTTTTTCATAAACTTGTTCTTGCTAAAAGGAACCGGAACAGAAACTACGCCTACCTTGAAATTTTGATACATTATTAATCATTCAAAATCAGCTGCCCCTCTACTGGAGCTCATGTACTGAATACTTTTAAGCGCACAGGAGCTTAAAAAGGATAGCTATTCATTCCAAAGGTAAAAATATTCAGACAAACGTAAAAATAGTTTGGAATCATTAATTAACTAAAATGAATTTAAATGGAAGTGGTGTTTAACATTCTCTACCTACTTTAGCGAGAGTCATTTAAATGTATCAAGGATTTTTTCTAAAAACTATCAAATATGTTGGAATGGGTATGGGAACCCCCTCGATAGGAATAGAATCATGTAAAAGCTTAGAATTGTAATTTATATAGCTAATCCCCATTATCCAACGATGGTCATCAGTAATAAATACCTTCAACCTCAATTTATTCGTTGCAAAATGAGTCTAATCATGATTATCACCAAAGACAGAGCTGTGAGTATGCCATAAAGTTCAATTCAATAAAATGCTTAATACATATCTAAAAGATTGCCCAAAGCATACGTTATTCAAATTTCGTTTCCTTTTCTGTTGTCTGAATTCCTTTTGCGTAAGAACTAGTACTTTAAATAGTAAATCCCAATTCTCCATCCTAACAGTACATGTCAGATAGGCTTGTCATGTCCTACGTTGGTAACCCAAAACAGGTTACGGGCCTCTCTAACCTGCCTTCAAACCTTCGGGATAGTGGTGATCGCCTCTAGCCTCATCGTTTTTCCCTACAGTTACATAATACTTGCTTGTTCATGACATGTATTACTTGGCTTCCCAGCTGAAATGCAGGCTTCAAAAGCATAAGCACTTTTACATATTTATTCACTATTGTTTCCGAAGCATGACATACAATAAATACGTGTGATTAACAAAAAATAAAATAAGAACCGACATTTTGACCATTAACAAGCATATTACTCGTAAAAGGGTCATTCCATGAAAATGATATCACAGTTATAAGTAGGTATGCATCTTGGTTAAATTTGAAATGAGAAATCTAAAAATTCAACGTAGTAGTTTCAATCTATAGATTTAATGCCATCTCTCACAATCCTAGCTAGTTCATTATGCAAATTTTCAGGTTCCTGATAAAGTTCATATGAAAACTCAGATGACCCAGGATAAGGACAGTTATGATTAAATATGGAGAACTTACAGATCTCCATGTCCAAATTTATTACCAAGCAACCTTGTTCTAAACCATATGGCACTGGCATAAAACTGCCACGCATAAAAACGGGGCAGGAGTAAAGGCCCAGAAACAAAGTCTTACATTTCTACTGCAAGAATTTTAACCAGCTTGTATGATCATTCCTTCTGCAGATCTTCTAGTTCTACACTGAAGTTTTAAAAAATTATTGGTAGTATTACTGTCCCTAGGGTTAGTATTATGTTTTTGGCGTGGGAGTTTTTTAATGCGTGTTTCTGCAGCTGTAACTTAAAAGGCAAAGTACGTTGCAAAACGAAGAAAGAAATCGAAATAGTGTACTACAAAAACCTTAAGAGTTCAAATTAAAGCAATAATGAAAGATGAGAATACATTCTCAGTTACCAGATACACAGAAGGCCAATACCTAAGTAGGAGTGCACATCCTGCTTTGATATTAACATTACATTTAAATGGGTTAAACTCTTCAATTAAAAAAATCAATGACCCCGGGTTGGATTAAAAACGCAAGACCATTGTTCAGTAGGGAAATGTGAACTTCAACCACAGTGGGGCAGACTCTGAGAGTGAATGGCAGTCACTGGAAGGCAAAGATGGTGGGATCCACAGGAAATGTTGATCTACGGGTCCTAAGACTCCGGTAGATGAAGCAAGAAGTACACAGGTGGCTCTGTGCAGTGCGGTGACTGTCAGTCACACCTGGGGACCGTACATCTCAAAAGCTAGAAGAAGCTTCTGGGAGGTGGGTAGGTACATGGTGTAGAAGGGTGGGTAAGACTGACCATAAGAAGCGGTAAATGTTTGAGGAGAGAGACGAGTTCAATGTGGTGGAAGCGTCATGCAGGGTGTACCTCCACCTGGCATTGCATGGTATCCCGATTCTGCATACAAATTTTAGATTTCTGCACAGCAGTTAGAATTTTTTTGTGAAAACTGACCACAAGATACCATTTCAAACCAATGTCTCTTATAAGAGACAAATAAATCTAAACATTAGTCCTTTGTCTGAGGAATAGTTATCAACATTTATTTCCCATTTTTGAATTGTCTCTTCACTCTGTTGGTGATTTCTTTTGCTGTGCAAAAGCTTTTTAATAAGATGAGGTTGTTAAAGCTTTCTAACATTTCCCACTCCACTGGAGTTCCCCCCCCCCACCCCCAACTGGAGTTTTGTTCATAAAGCTTTTGCCTACAGCTATGTCTTCACGAGTTCTATCTGTTTTCTCTTCCATCAGACTCAGTGTTTCTGTTTTATTTTATTCTATTTTTTTTGTACCGGGGATCAAACTCACGACCTTGCCCTTGCCGAGCAGGTGCTTGCGGCGCTGACCTAAATCCTCGGCCTGACCTTTCTTTGTAAGGAAGGATTCCGGGGAAAACAGTGGTCATTTCTGACATTTCAGTGGTTGCAACCTGGGTGTGGGTGTGGAGGTGCACACCTGGAACCCCAGCACTCAGGAGGCTGTAGCAGGAGGGCACCTAGGGGTCCAAGTTCGGCCTAGGTGACGTGGCAAGGGCCTGTTTGAAAACAAAACCCTGCTGCAGGGCACTCTGTGATATACTTATTTTCAGTGCACCCACCAGCTAGTATGTCTCCCATTTTACCCACCAGGAAACTGAGGACCAGAGAAATCAGAAACTTGCCCCAGGTCACACTGCTGAGCACTCTTTTCTATCCTCAGAGTTCCAGAAAGAAATTTTCCAGACATCACAGGCCAAACTGAAATACTCTTTATCACTTTGGGTCAAGAGCTCCGTGGGTACGGTGGCACCTGACTGTAATCCCAGCACTTGAGAGGCGAGGTAGGAGTATCACAAGTTCAAATCCTGCCTGAACAACTTAGTGTGGCTCTGTTGCCAAAAAACTACATAAATAAACAGAAGCTGGGAGCTGAGGATATGGGGGGGGGCGCTAGATCTTATTATGATTTTCATTATTTGGACAAGAAAAATCAAAATTGCATTACTGTAACTTGCCAGTCTGTTCCATGTGTAGCTCTTATTTTTCTGTGCTAGCAATCGAGCAGGAGCGAGAAACACAGTCACAGTATCGTCGTGAGATTGATACAGAATCTGTCTCAGCTTTTTGCTGTAAAATATTTCATACATAAAAACCTCAGATCTGACCATCGATTACCTTTCTCTGTATTTGTACCCTGGGGGGTGAGTGGGTTTTCTTTTTGGTTGAGCCACTGACAATCTGGCAGGCATTATGACATTTATGTCTTAATTCTTCGGCATACACCTGACAATACGGACACAGTGTATGGTGCATA